TGTGTGTGTGTGTGTGTGTGTGTGTGTGTGTGTGTGTGTGTGTGTGTTTGGCAAGAGGAAGGAAAGGGCAGAGTATATTTAGTACACATAGTCCTGAGTGTAATGAGCTTTGTTCCCTGGAGGGACCTCATCTGAAACCCACAAAAATTTAGCCTCTAGGAGAGACAGAGACATCTCATAAAAACTTAGTTCCGTGTCTCATTAATCATTCACCCAGAAATGCAGATATTAGCCCTCTTGCTTCCTGATCCACTGCCTTCCCCACCTGTCAACAGGAACTTAACCCATCTATGAAAGCTCAGTAGTCCTGATTCACTGATTTGGAGAAAGGAACGTAGCAGTAAAACAGGGAGTGCTGCCTGGAGAATGGCAGCCACATTGGACAGCTGTTCGACTCTTCATGATATCGGTACCAGCCATCCCAAAGCCACAGGTGGGCTGCCTTAGTAGGTAGTGAGCTCCCCTCCATTGGAAGTTTTCAGGCAAAGACTGGATGACCACTCACTGGGCAGGTTGTAGAGGGATTCTTCTTCAGCAGTGAGTTAGGTTAGACAGCTCCTGGAGTCCCATCCAACTTTGAAATTCTATGATTCCATTTCCTTTCACCTGTCCATCTTCTTAGACTAAGAGGACCACGTGTATTTTCTTCTCATCTAGCCTATATGGCCAGATACTCTTCCTGTGCTTGGTCAAGTCTTAGAAACCACAGGGAGGGGGCAGCTAGGTGTGGCAGTAGATAGAGCTCCGGCCTTGGAGTCAGGAGGACCTGAGTTCAAATCTGGCCTCAAACACTTAACATTTACTGGGCAATAACATTTACTGTGACCCTGGGCAAGTCACTTAACCCCGATTGCCTCACAAAAAAAAAAAAGAAACCACAGAGGACATTCAGGTAAGCTGTTGCTTCTCAGATTGAGAAGCCACAGTCTTCCTCTAGCATCTCACCCCATTCTACTGCCAACCCAGGACTATACAGAAAAACTCCACCCCATGTCTCTAGAGCTCTCTCAGCTCCTGTCACCTCCACTTGGAAAGACAGTGCACATCCATAAAGCATGGAACTGAGATGATTTTGGTGCCTCAAGATAGGGAGGGTAAGAGCTGAAATGAATGAGAAGTGATTGAAGGTCTTGCTCACCTGAGCTGGATGGGGGGTGGGTGGGTAAAAGAACCATACCCCTATTCTTTTTAAAGTAATATAGCCCCATTTTGTGGGAGAGATTCCCATTGAGTGATCTGATAGTGATGCCTATCCTTTTAGGGAAAAGAGGGAAGGCAGCCAGACCTGACATGAATTGAGAGCTTTTTGTTGAAAGAGAGGAAAGGTATTTCTCTCTGGTTTCAGCCTTGCTTCTATGCCTGTAGCCTTCTAGCCACTTGCAGTCACCTGCTCTGTCCAAGCTCCACTAACCTATGGAAGTGGTCCAAACAATACCTCATCCCCTAGGTGATGTAATAGCCAAATGCCAGGAAAAAAGCATCAGGTGAGAGAACTCAAGGACCATTAGGAAAGGAACCTCCTAAGTATAAGTACTCCTCTCCCTTCACCCACTAACTTTCTGTGCTCAAGAGGCAATAATTCACCTGACCCTACAATGGCCCTTTGGGCTCCAAGCCCTTCCTTGGAAGCCTGTGTTTCTGTTCCTCTTCATGGGAGAGGTCCTTGAATTTGAGTGCTGCTGCCATACGCATGGCACCACCCCCTTTCTTTTTCTTCTTATACTCCTTTCCTTCTCCTTCCCCTATTCTGTTTGTCATCCCTCATGGAGCCCAGATGCTGCTGAGTTTTCAGAATAAGCATGTAAGTATCTAGGAAGAATCAACCCAATTGGGGTCAAACTGGGTGGGAGAGCTAAGGGCAGGGGTTTGGGGCATGATAAACCCTGAGGCAGATGGGGAATGGGCTCCCTATAGGGTTCAAACACAGTTCATATGGTTTATTATCAGGGCCTTAGGGGAAGGTGAGTTCTAAAAATTCAGACAAGTCTGCCCTCCCCTCATCCCTAACTCCCCACTCTAGCCCTATGCTGTCACAGATGACAGTGATACCATTTCAGTCTTCTGTCCCTGACCTTCAACCCTCTGACCTCAGCCTGGTCTTCAAATCTCTCCCACCTCCTACCCCCAAGGTGGTCACCCTCTGAGATAAATGTAGGTGTCCAATGAGTCTAGTCTGGCTCTGCCTATACCATTCTCTGGGCAGCTAGGTGGTACAATGGATTAGGGTACTGGGTCTTGAGGCAGGAAGACCTGAGTTCAAATTTGGCTTCGGATACTTTACTAGTTGTTGTGTGACCCTGGATAAGCCACTTGATCCTGTTTGCCTCAGTTCCTTATCTGTAAAATGAGCTGGAGAAGGAAACAGGAAACCATTCCAGTATCTTTGCCAAGAGAACCTCAAGTGGGGTCACAAAGAGTTGGACACAACTGAACAACAATGTACCATTCTCTCCCATCCTGCTCTTTCTTACCTCTTAGAAACTAAAACCAGGCCTATTTTTCATCTCATTCTTTCTTTCCACTTTTTCTTTCTCATTTGCTTATTTTCCTTTGCTCTGCATTTCTTTTCTCCATTAGAGATCTCTTACCCTCCCCTACGCCAATACTCCAACTCATCTGTTGTTGGAGGGAAGCACTTAAAGGCTCTGAAGGTTGGTATTTCTGTGTCTCATTTGCTCTTGGACATCCCCAGGAAGTTGGGGAACAGGGTGGGGATAAGCAGCAATTCTTGACTGGTCAGAGAAGAATTTTTTTTTTTTTCAAAGATTGAGTAAGAGTGGAGTTTTTAGCTGAATGAAGGAGGACTTATATAGGACTTAGCATCTGGCATCCATTCCAGCAAGAGTTCCTAGGCCAAATCCCCCATGCCCAAGGGTCCATATGTGCCAGTTCCCTTAAAATGAAAAGAAAAGCCCATTTTCATCTTGAGGGTCCTGGTCCATACCCTGTTGGGTTGGACAGTTGAGTAGTATAAGGTCGTAGATGAATGTAGATACAGCTGAAGCCCAGTGGGAACTTGAAGCTGTTTATCTGTGTGACTATTGGTTTCTTACTCTGTCCAGGAGTTGCTTGCTTGGAGGAGAGAGGAAATAAAAACCTCTACTCTTTCCCAGACCACCTCCTCTCCCCAGACATTTTCTGAACCTTCCTTTAGTAATCTAGCCACCAGGACCCTTCCTCCCACCTGGTACTCTGGGGACCTTCTAGAATCTTGATTTCTTTAAGAGTCTGTGTCCCAGAGCTGCTCCATTTTTTTTTTTTTTTGTATAATCTTGGGTCCTGAATTCTCTTCCTCATTCTCCTTCCTGCACTGCCTAAGAAATCACTTCTCTGGTCTGGGGAAACCATTTTGGCATATTTGTTCTGGTCTCTTCACCTTAGTACTGTCTGTTTCTATTCTTTTTATACCCTCAGTTGGAGGCAGATGCCTTTCATTAGCTCCTTTTCCTTGTTAGTTTGTCCAATACCAAGAATATAATGCCCAAATTGCAGGATCCTCATTTCTCTCCAGGCCAGCTCAAGGGTCCAGTCTGTTCCTTCTGAAGTCCAATTCTAAAAGAAACTCTTTTTTATATGTGTATGTGTGTGTGTATCTATCTATCTATCTATCTATCTATATATAATATATATATGTATATAAATTTTTTTTTTTTTTGCAATTGGGGTTGATTGACTTGCCCAGGGTCACACAGCTAGTAAGTATCAAGTGTTTGGTGGGAGATCAGATTTGAACTCAGGTCTTCATTACTTCAGGGCTGGTGCTCTATCCACTGTGCCACCTAGCTGCCCCTAAAAGACTCTTAAGAGCCTATCCTATATAATGTAAGCCTTTCCTCACCCATCACTTGGGTGCTAGAAAATCACATTTGCTCTGCAGTGTTTTCTTTCTCCCACTAGATGATGGGATCGGTTTTTTTTTTTTTTTTTTACTACAAGCATTTATTAAGTGCATACAGCCATGCTAGGCCATTGGGGATATAAATGCAAAAGAAAGAACAAGCTTACAATCTAATAGAAGACACAGTATGGCTAGCCTATTGTTACAGGCTGGTTGTCTGAGGTAGAGGATGTGGGGGCCCAGGCTTCAGGTGGAAGGTGACCTCGAAGGCTCCATTAGCTAAAGGAAAGGCCAGGTGCAAGTCAGCCAGCATCTCTGATAAAATCAGCGACTTCAGAGGCAGTTAAGTGGTGTGGTAGATAGAGCACTGGCCCTGGAGTCAGGAGGACCTGTGTTCAAATCCGGCCTCAGACACATAATACTTCCTAGCTGTGTGACTCTGGGCAAGTCACTTAACCCCAGTTGCCTCACTAAAAAAATCAGTGACTTCAGATGCTGCCTTAAAGTACAGTTGGCTCCAGAGATGGAAGACTGCATTAGTCTCCTGTTGCTGTAGCGTTTCCTAGACGAACCTTAGGCAGCCTTGACCGAGGAGAGGGACAGCTTTGATATAATAATAATAGCTAGCATTTATATAGTATATGAAGGCTTTCAGAGTAGGTTCATCTCATTTTATCCTCGCAACAACCCTGAGAGGAAGCCTCAGTCAATCAATAAACATTTATTAAGCACCTACTGTGTGCCAGGCACTATGCTAAGTACTGGGAATACAAAGAAAGTTTAAAAAAAAAACAACTAGTCCCTGCCCTCTCAGTCCAATGAAGAAGACAACCTGTGAGCAACAATGTACAAGCAGGTTAGGTACAGGATAAATTGGAAGTAATCAACAGAGGGAAGGCACTAGAATCCAGGGGGATTGGGAAAGGCATCTTGCAGAAGGTAGGATTTTAACTGAGGCTTGAGGGAGGTCAGGAGGTGGAGATGAAGAAGGAGAGCATTCTAGGCATGGGCAACCCCCAGTAAAAATGTCAAACTCAGGATACAGGCTTATTTGAGGACCCCAAAGGAGGTCACTATCACTGGATTGAAGCATGGTATGTGTAGGGTCGGAGGGGTGGTAAGATAAAAAAGACTGGAAAGATCAGGGATGTTGGGAGTGGGGGATGGGGAAGGACAAGTTGTGAAGGATTTTGAATGCCAAACAGGATTTTGTATTTGCTCCAAGAGTTGATAGGTAGCCAGTGGAGTTTATTGACTTTGTGTGTGTGTGTGTGTGTGTGTGTGTGTGTGTGTGTGTGTAACATAGTCAGACCTGATCTTTACATGTTATTCTTATGCCCATTTTACAGATGAAGAAACTGAGGCAGACAGGTTAAATGACTTGCCCAGGGTTATACCACTGGGAAGTGTTTGAGGCTGGATTTGAACTCAGGCCTTCCTAACTCCAGATTTAGTGCCTTAATTACTGTGCCACCTTGTTAGGAGAATAACTAGGAATCACTTAAGACACCTGAGATCCTGGCTCTTTTTACCATTCTGATTGTAAATTGTAAATTGAGGGGGTTGAGGTCTTGATCTCCAAGGTTTTTCTTTTCTTTCTTTATTTTATCTCTAACATTTTACAAAAATAGGCCTGGTGACACCCTCTTCACAAGATGATTGTGAGGGGCAAGAGATAGTATTAATCATCACAAAGCAATATACATATATAAAGTGATATCATCATCATTATTTTTGGATTGTTTTGTTTATTTTGTTTTTCTTTTTAAACTAGACCTGTGATTTTGATTGTATGGATTAACAAACATTAAGTTCCTACTATGTGTCAGGCACTGAAGCCTGACTCAAGATACAAAGACAAAAGTAAAACAATTCGTGCCCTCAGGGAGCTTACATTCTAGTGAGGAGACCACACATAAACAGGTATATTTGAAACACATATAAAACAGCTACAGTGTGTTGGGAAGGGCATTGGTTAGAACCAGAAAAGGGCTCATGCAGTAGATGGTACGGGGGAATTCCCAATGAGGAAACTATCAGTATAGACCTATAGCTGCTCTTCAGCTTATATAGTCTTAGCTAGTTGCTTGGAATACTAATAAATAATTTTCCTAGAGTAGGGGCTGAGCAGCAGTGGATAGAATACCAAACTTGAAGTAAGGAGGACTTCATCTTCCTGAGTTCAAATGTGATCTCAGATACTTATTAGCTATGTGACCCTGGTTAAGTCACTTAACCCTATTTCACTCAGTTTCCTCATCTGTAAAATGAGCTGGAGAATGGCAAACCACTCCAGTACCTTTGCCAAGAAAACCCCAAATGGGGTCATGAAGAGTTGGGCACAACTGTACAACAAAAGGGGTTGGCATACTACAGACAGAGGGGGTCAAATCTGGCCACCATCTCTTTTTTTGTAAGGCCAGAGAACTAAGAATGGCTTTTTAATTTTTAAATAAAGTTTTATCATATTTAAAAATGTGAAAAAGAAAGGAAGGAAGGAAGAAAATTATTCTTAACTCTCTGGTATACAAAAACAGGTGAAAAGTTGGATTTGGCCCTTGGCCATAGTTTGCCAGTCCATGGCCTAGAGTCACAGAGCCAGTGTGTATCAGAGTAAGGACTAGAACACAGGTGTTCCTGATTCTGAGGCCAGATCTCTGTCTGCTATGCCATACTACTTCTCTGCTAGACTATTTTAGATAAATATATCTGGTTATCCCCAACCAGAACAAATGACAAATATCATATTTTTTTTTACATTATAAATTAGATAAAGAGCTGAGCTTAGAATCAGAAAAAATCTGGCTATAATCCAGCCTCTGACCCATACTAGCTTTTTGACCCTGGGCCAGTTATATAACCACTATGTGCCTCAGGCAGCTGCTTGAGATTTATCTACTAAGTTATAGATGGACTGTTAATCTGTGATCTATATTGGTAGAGAGAGTTCTCACACTGGGAGCTCCCCAATATTGATGAAGTATTCCAAGTATTACAGTATCTTCTCAGGGCTCATCACTGAATTCTGTACGTATTAGGTATTTATTAATTATGTGTTTAATTGAGTTTTGCTCGGAGGAGGCAGAAGTCATTATGGGCAGGAACAGGAAGATTTTCAGGGTGTTAATGGGGCTTGAACTAGGAGATGGATAGGATGGGGGCACAACTATAGTTACAGAGATGACAACATCTTTTTTTTTTTTTTTTTTTTTTGGTCTAGACCTGCGATTTCATCAGTATTGGGAATTCCCATCATAGAAACTTCCTTTACTGTTGAAGGTTACCAACTCAACTGCAGCTTATGGTTTCAAAGACTTTGTTGTTGTTCATTTGTTTCAGTTGTATCCAACTCTTCGTGACCCCATTTGGGATTTTGTTGGCAAAGATATTGGAACGGTTTGCCATTCCTTCCTTCAGCTCATTTTACAGATCAGGAAACTGAAGCGAATTAGGTGATTTGCCCAGGGTCATACAGCTAGTAGGTGTCTGGGGCTGGATTTGCATTTAGGTCTTCCTGACTCCAGGCCTGGCCCTCTATCCGCTGTGCCATCTTTTAGAGACCAGCCTAAGGGAACTGAGTCACCCTGTCAAAAGTATATTTAAAAAAAAAAACCAACCAAACAAAAAAAAACAAAAAAATAAAACAAAAACAAAAAACAAAACCAAAAGTATATCAAAAGAGAATAGTGTCAGAAGCAGGACTTGAACCCAGGTCTTCCTGGTGCTATAATCAACCCTCTATCTACTACATCATGGCTGCCATGTATAAAAACCATACATGATAAAAAAAAAAAAAACAAAGCTAACCAAAGTACAGTAGGAAGGTATTTAGGGGCGAGTAAGGAAAGCAAAAGGAAGTCCTCTTATTTTTGACCTCTTAATTTTCATACCTAGTATATCCAATAAGCTTTCAACCAATTTAAGCTCAGGCCATCTTGAAACTAGGTACCTAACACCTATGTAACTGGGCTGTTGAAGACACATGTAAAGGAAGAGTTGATTGTAAAGCATTCAGAAATCAGAAATTGTTTCAGAAATGGTTGAAGGAGTCATGATGACCCCAGATGAAAATAAAGTTGGAGAGTGACCGAGGAACATGAAGAATGAGGGAACACAGAGGTTCAGGTAGCATGCAGTGTAATCTATTGATGGGCCCATGCAACTTGTTCATGGCTTATTAAAAGAAGGAAGAAAGGGAGGAAGAGAACAAGCATTTATTAAATGCCTACTGTGTGCCAGACACTCTGCTAAATGCTCTACAAATATTATATCATTTGATCCTTAAAACATTTCTGGGAGGTAGGTGCTATTATCATCCCCATTTTACGTTTAAGGAAACAAAGGTAGACAAAGGTTAAGTGATGCACCCAGGGTCACATAGCTAGTAGGTGTCTGAGGCTGGATTTGAACTCGGGTTTTCCTTACTCCAACACTCTATCCACTGCACCACCTAGCTGCCTTATTGATACTAAAGGAGGAACATAGAAAATGAAAATTAGCTAGTAGCTTTAAACTTCCCCCAAGCAGTGTGTTATGGAGTTTATAAGAAACAGAATGAGCTTTCGGGAGTTTGCCCTTTTTAAAAAGAAACCCACAGAATAACAACATTAGAGTTGGAAAAGAATCTTAGCAATCATCTAGGTCAGGGATTCTTAACTTTTTTGTGTGTCATCAGACTTCTTCTGAAGTCTCATAAAGTTGATGGCCGTCTTCTTGAAATAATGGCTTAAGATACCTAAAATAAACTATATAGGATTACAAAGGAAAACAATTATATTAAAATACATGTAATAAAATAATATACCTATCTATCTGTCTTTCTGCCTGTCTATCTATCTAAACTAGTTCTGGTTCACAGCCTCCAAGTTAAGAACCTCTGATCTTAGGACATTTTCCTCGTTTTACAAATGAGGAAACTGAGATTCAGAAGAGGAAAGTTACTTGCTCCTGATTGTGCAGCTAGTAGGGGCCGGCGTTGGATTAGAATCCAGAGCCTTCCAATTCATTGTTCTTTCCATTACATCCGTGGTTCCCAAACCATGTGCCCCAGCATGTCAGAGTGCAGTAGCAAACTCACAAGGTCACTATAAGGTACTTTAAAGTTTTCACCTAACTACTTAATAAACGAAACTAGTAAGGGATTTCTTTTGAAAACAATTAGATGCTAAGAACACCGTAAACCAACAAAGTTTGGGAACCTCAGCATCTACGCAATAGAGGCATCTTGGAATTGGAAGAAGCCTCAGAAATTATCCATTTCTAACCCCTACCTGCATGGAAATATCCTAGACCATAACCCTAACAAGTTAGTCATCCAGCCTTCACTTGAAGACCTTCTGTGAGGGGATCCATGCAGATTCCCTTGTCTATCATCTCTATGAATCCCTACACCATTAAGCCAGGCAACTTTGATTTCTTCTCTTCCTGTCCATTCATAATACTCACTCCTTACATTTATAATAGCACTTTACAGTTTTCAAAGCACTTTCATATATATCATCCATATCTGCCCTTGCTAATGAGTGATAAAATATTCCCTCAAAATAGCACCAGACAACTCCTGAGACGAGCATCATAGCTCAGTGGAAAAAGCTCTGGATTAGGAGTCAAAAGACCTGGGGACCTGGGTTCTACTGGCTCTGCCATTAATCAGCTGTGTGATTTTGAGTAAGTCCCTTTAACTCTGAGTTTCAGTTTCTTCATTTTTAAAATAAGTGGGTTGGGCTATATAATTTTAATTATCATATTTGGCCTGAAGAAAAGAAGACAAAATGTACTCCCCTCCCTTCTTTGCAGAGGTGAGGGACTATAGATTTGGAACACTGCAGATCTTCTCAGATGAAGTTGATATGCTGTTCAGTTTTACCAAACTTCTTTTTCTCCCTTTCTTTGTTATTTGTAATTATAAGGAAGGGTTTTCTGGGATGGGAGAGGGTTATATTTGGAAATGTAGGCAATGTAAAAACAAACTATATCAATTTAAAAATTAAATCAAGGATTCTTTAAAATCAAATTAAGGGAATTAGACTATATAATCTCTAAGGTCCATCCCAGCCCTAAAATTCTGTGATTCTGTGACTCTGAGGTAGCCATTGGGAGCAGAAGGAGAAACAAAGAACTCAGATCACCCCCATGTTGGATAATAAGGCAGTGACTTGAGAGCTGGCTACGTAATGGGAAGGGAGGGCTGATTGACCCATGCATTGAACTCCTGTGACTGCTCTTTCTGCCACCCTGATTTGTCTCCTTTGTTGTACTCTTAGCATTTGGGCTGGGGACTGTGAGGAGGCAACATGGCCTCTGCGGAGCCCCTGACGGCGCTGTCTCGCTGGTACCTCTATGCCATTCACGGCTACTTCTGTGAGGTGATGTTCACGGCTGCCTGGGAGTTTGTGGTGAACTTTAATTGGAAATTTCCGGGTGTCACCAGCGTCTGGGCCCTCTTCATCTACGGCACCTCAATACTTATCGTGGAGAAGATGTACCTACGCCTCCGGGGCCGTTGCCACATCCTGGTCCGATGCCTCATTTACACCCTCTGGACATACCTGTGGGAGTTCACCACGGGCTATATCCTTCGCCAGTTTAATGCCTGCCCTTGGGACTACTCCCAGTTTGACTTTGACTTCATGGGTCTCATCACCCTGGAGTATGCTGTGCCCTGGTTCTGTGGCTCCCTCATCATGGAGCAGTTTATCATCCGCAACACCCTTCGTCTTCGCTTTGAACAGCATGCTGAGCCTAGCGGACCTACTGCCTCACTGGCTCTGGCTAACGGCCATGTCAAAACAGACTGAGGAGTGGACCCGTGCATGGACAGTGGCCCTGGGGCTTTCTTGATCAACCCATGAACAAAAACCAGATGGGAGGAGCTGCTCTTCCTTATCACACACAGCCTCTCCCTTCTGTGCTCACTGTATCACTACACACACACACACACACACACACACACACACACACACACACACACATCCCTGTACCCACACACCATCACCATCCTCACCAGAATTGTGTATGTGTGTGTGTATTTGTATGTTAGAGGTGAAGGGGAACAGAGCTACATGGGGATGGGGGTAGGGGGGCCTATATGTGAATAACTCCCTAACTCAGAAGAGAACAGCAGAATTCCTGGGGCTGATTACAGCTATGACTTTGAAAAACAGCACCGCAATCCACTGACCATGTGACTTTAAAAACTGGGTGACAGGAAGGAAGGCCCCAGGAGATCTCTTGGGCCTCCCACACCCACCTCTTCTTGGGCCCCTTCCCCCCCACACCCACCACTGCCCTTTGCTCTGGGTGAAGTTAGCAGTTGGCTTGTTCCATTAGGCAATATTCAGGTGCTTGCTTGCAACCAATACCTCCCACGGGGCCCAAGGAGCTGAAGGACTAGAAGGAGATTGGTCGTGGCTAATTTGCCATGCCTGCACAGGAGATGGAGGCAGAGGCCCTACCTGCTGCCCCCTTCCCTGTGGCCCCGAAGCTGCTTTCTTGGTGTTTTCTGGGGCACTCTGGTGCTGGATCCCCACTAAACTTGGACTTTTGAAGGACTTAATCCTCAAGTGCTCCGTGAAGTTTCCCCCGTTTTCCCCCTCTACCCTCTTTTATTTTTGAACTAAGGGTGACCTGCCTTTCTTGTCTCCTCCCCTCACAAGCCAACACAAAAATTGCCAGAGATAGAAACCTGAGAAATCTTCTCCACCTGCCCCTACCCCTTCTCGTCTTTGTTTTTTCCTCATTTGCTGTATGTCCAGGGGAGACCACACAGGCAGCATCTTCCCTCCCAAATCGTCTACTGTGAAAGCATCTGGCATCATGGCCACCGGGCTTGTGACAGTGTTCCTTGGTGCTGGCCCCCTTCTCCCTTCTCATAGCCACCTCTCTAACAGCCTTGCCGGAGGCTGACAACCCATTGAACCCATGTGAGAATTGGGCCCGTTAGGGCCTGAGGAGGTAGTATCTTGTGACCTGGAAGAACTTCTGAGAGGTTTCCCAGATAAAGATTGTGGGGAGGGGGGGAAGGGGCAGAGTTGGGGGGTGGGATCTAAAAGGTGAGGGATACTTGTAGAATATCTGGGCCATGATTGAATTGAAAATGAACCAATCAGGAGTTGGGTGGGGTGTGTGTGTGTGTGTGTGTGTGTGTGTGTGTGTGTGTGTGTGTGTGTGTGTGTGTGTGAGTGATTGAGATTGATTCTGATTCTGATTCTGATTTTGCTTAAGGAAACCAGGGTTTGAGAGAGGTAATATTTTAGGCGAAGGAGATGCTTTAGAATGTTCAGTTGGGAACAGGCTCAGAACTTGTTGCTGGTCTTCATTTATCACAGCCCCCAGCTCCATGTTGCCTTCTCAGGGCTGCCATTCCTAGCCCGCTTGTCTCCACAAACGGGGCTTTCTCTGTGAATTCGCTCCTTATTCAGTATTACCGAACTCTTTGGAGGCATAGTTTTAGTCCCCCAGCCCCATTCCAGTCGCCCTCCCACTCCTGTGAAGTGTCCATTGCTGGCAGTGGACAGGTGAATGCCTCACCCTAGCTCACTTCCAGCACTCCAACCAGCACAAAGGAGTTAGTTAACCCTACTATGCCCTGTGGTACAGTGTTTCCTGACTATTCCAGGACACTTAGGTAATAATTAGCATCATCCCTTTTTATAAATCATTAAAAATGCCAAGACTACCAACTGTAGAAAGAAACTCCTCTTCCTTGCTGTCCTACCCAGTTTGTACGGACAGCATCGCTCATAGGTGGGAACAGAGTTTGGAGGTTGGGGGCTGGGGGGGTGGGGATATGGAGGGGAGTAGAAAAAATAGCTTGCAGGGATTAATTTAGGGAACAACTGTTCTTTGCTTTTGTCCTGGACTCAGAACAATATAGTAAGACGTCCTGAGTTTTTGCTTCCTGGATAGGTTCTCCAAATACGGGGATCAATCCTAACTGAAGGATAATCACTCCCCCTCACACAGTGTCCTCCCTTCCCCCAAGAACTTCCTGGGTGAAGGTGAGCAAAGATTGCATTCTATCAATTAGTGAAGAGAATTTGGGGGGTTGGGGGTAGTGAGGTTGGATCTGTGATTTCATCAACATTGGGAACTGCCAATGTTGAAACTTGACACGACTCGTCTATGACTTAGAAAACTTCCTAAGGCACTGAGAAATTACGTGATTTTCCTATAGCCTATTATCTAGTATGTGTCAGAAGAAAGACTTGAACCTAGATTTTTCTGACTCCCATAGTCCTTGTGTCAGGCTGCCTATAGTGACTAGAGAGGACAACGTAGTTTAGCCACAAACCTCACAAATGCTGCCCTACCAATCACCCAGTCTTCATATAGTTATGGCCTGGTGCTGAGTCACCGCTAATGCCACCACAGGAATCATAGTTTACCCCGTCCCCCCGGCCTCTTTTCAAAGACTCTGGGTTCACAGGGACCAGATTTCATCCTGGGGGCTGACCCCAAAGGGGTCATTATTGCTGTTTGGCTTTCTATCCCAACTCTGGGGTAGATCTCCCGAATAAAGCTTAGGTATGGCTTGTGTCTTAAGTGTCCCCACATGTGGGTAACAGTGTCTCCACTTCTTCACAGGTATCCTATGTCCAGTATAGGTATGAGACTGCCTTTGTTTCCTCCACAACAAAAAAATACATAAAATGCATTTTGATGATTTTAATAAAAATGCATAAAACGTATCACCAGAGCCCAAATACAGCACTCATACAGTGTCCTATCTCTCTGAAGGTAAAGGCATTTTGAGGCCACTTAACAAACACCCCGCATTTACATTCTACCACAATCCAAGCAACTCCTAGCAATATTATTTAGGATTGACAATGTCCAGATCTCTTAGCCCATGTAATGTGGCTTTAGTCTTCCAATTTTAGTAATATCCTCTTCAAATTGCATGCACTGAGAAAATCCATGAAACTCAGGAACTCTTGATTGGGAACTCTAGAACTTGGAAACTCTATCTCAAGATTATCTGCAAGGTATCTCCCGGGGCTAGAAATATCCATTCTCAAGATCACTAGTCTCTGAGCTCAGAAAAAAAAAAAAGAAGCAAAAGAAGGCAGCCGGGGCCTCTTAGTCTTGTGAGGGTAAGACTGTGTTCTTCTGCAGCAGTTAATATTTTTTGCTTGTGGGGAACGGGGCAGGGAGAAATCTCTTTTTCCACCTTCCGCTTTCCCCAACGTATTGCATTTTAGTCTGGAAATCCAAAAAGTGCCTCCCGAAAGGCCCAGTTGGCATCTTAACTCACCACTAAACACCATGCTCTTTAGGCAAGAGACTGTCCCTTCTGCCTCATAGGCACCAGGGCAATTTATGTTAGAGGCAGCTGCAGTCCCTGAGACCTCCCAGAGGAGTGCCTTGTGTCTTCTCGGTGAGGGGCTAGAGCACATATCTACGTCTAGAGGGGGTGCTCTTCTGATACGGATCCTCACCCTGTAATTTCATCAGTTTGATTGGGTTATTTATCAAACTGATCAGGGGCTCTCTTGATCAACCACCTTTACAACAGGATTGAGAGTCGAAAGGGACCTTTAGTCATCTCGTCCAACAGCTCGTTTTAAGTGACTAATGGTAGAGCTGAAACTTGAACCTATCTTCAGATTCCAAACAATGCTCTTTCTAGTATACCACACTACCCAGGCCACACCAGGCCCGTCACTGAGCTCTCCTTTTTTCTTCCATTTGACCCCTTTCCCCCCTCATATTCCCTAGCCTGGAAACCTAGAAATGGAAGCCCCATCTGTTTACTCTAAGAGCCCAGCGCTGCATTACAGATAGTTGGCCCTGGTGTGCTCCCGGAAATCCCCAGACTTCTCTAGAGGAGAAGCTGCTTCTGGTTTTCATGCCTTCCCTCCCCCAGAGGTGGCTACATTTGAGCTGGAGAGTGAATCATCCTTCAGCTTGGATCAGCCACTTCCTCTTCTCCTGCTTCATTCTTCCCCTTTTGATGCCAATGACTCACAAACGCCTGTGCTTATTTGTAGCAATAATGATCGCCCTCCATGCCTGAGAAGACAGACCCTGAGCTAGGTTGAGAGGTTGCTTATGTTTAGCCAGTGCCTTCCATTCCTCCAAGAGCTCTATCGGTATCTAAGCTAAAGACTTCTGACTAGGGAGCCCTTTGTAAGGAGAGAACTTAGAATAGCTAAATACAGCTCTAGGACTAAATATACAGGCCCATTTAGACTTTCATGTCCCCTCCCCCACCCCACCCCAACTTGTCCTCTATTCTCTCTTCATCTTTCATACAAATAACAATAAGTTGAGGATCTATGATTACAATGATGCGGGAATTTCCTCCATCCTGGAAGAATGCAAATAACTCATCTATAATTTATAGTTTTAAAAAGAATTGACTGAGACTCCCAGAAGTTAAGTGAATGGTCCAGGGTCACACAGTTAATTTGAGTCAGGTCTTCTTTACCATAATTCCAGCATTCTGCCCCTACCACACTGCCTCTCCTTTGTAAACATAAAATATACTGAAATCTGTTCTAGGGCTGTTTCTGACTCTGTCTACGTAGGATTCATGGAGGCCTGTTGTAGGCAGATACCATTTAAGGTCACACTTCACATTTCATTAAATTTCTAACCAGTTCTAACAAAGGTGCTAACAGACTGGGACCTTTTCCAACCCACCCACTGCATGGGACTATTCCCTGCCTCAAAGTAGTCCTTGGGGCTGCCTCCTAGCTTTTCTGAGGGAACTCTTTCCTTAGAGCTTTCTGACAGTCTATTATAGTATCTTTACTTAAAGTTATTTAGGGATGTAAGTTCACCTCAACTCGGTAAGTATAAACTGATTTGGATGTCGTTTACACCACCCACCATGAAGGGCTGAGGCTGGGCACCTGAGCAGTGGTACAGATTGGGAATTAATGGG